CATACAAGCAATTCTAGCATCGTTTCTTTTTTCGCAGTTGTTTGTCTAAGTGTTTAAGAAGATTTGTTCTGTGTACAGTGATGACGCCATTGATATAAACAAGTTGGAGTGGTATGTAAGTTTTCTCAGGAAGAGTTTTTGGGGGGCTGGTGAGGTAATCCCGTGAACGGGGATCTTGAAAATTCAGCTGCCACCTTCCATTTAATATGTGTCTTCTGTATTCTTTCTTATCTATCTGAGAAGGAAGGGGCACTTCTTGACCATGTATCTCTTTTTGTATGAGTTTTCCTTTCTGCTGACATCGAAACATAAGAAGCAAGAAGACAAATAAAGTAAGTATTTTCTGGAAAAGCTGGAGGTGACATTCTCTCCAGCTTTAGGAAGTTCTTGGAGTTACGTATTGCTTGTTATAGGTAGCAGAAGTGGTGCTTAGATGTGCATGCACTCTTACTAGTATCCTGCAGTGGCGTACCCAGGAATTCCGTACAGGGACGAGGGAAAGAAATTTTTTCTGATGAAGGTGCGTGCCCTCAGCCACGCACCCCGAAGAATTTTTAGGTGCTCTTCCTGGAATTTTTGCGGGCCCAAAACTTTACAAAAACCGAAACTGCGGGCAACTTTAGAAAAAGAGGACGTGGCGTCAGCTCCGAAAAAAATTTTTATAAGGCTGAACCGAATTTTCGAAAAATTCTAAAAATTAATCTAATCATTTACAAATACACACAAGTCATTTGCACATTTTGGATACTTATGTAAGTTAATTTCAATCCCCTTCCCTCTCGGCAAGGCACTGGTATCCAGACTGTGGTATCTAATCTCATAAGCGCGGCGCCGCACGCACGGACTCTGCGCAGTCGCGTGCATTGAGAGAGTTCATACTTATGAGAGGGAGCAGACGGTAAGAGTGATGAAAACGCATTTGATCAAGGAGACCACAGCAATGTCCGTATAACGTCGCCCATGCGTACGATGAGTTACCGACAGCAATTATGTCATTCATTTACTCAAACTACATTCATTGTCGAACTGAAACTGCTCAACGCCGCTTGCGAATCCTTCAAATTTTGCACGAGTTGTACAACGCAAAAAAATCGTATCGCGTCATTAGAAATGTTGTGACAGACGAAAAAAGTCTCACGTTACCCGACGCCGCCCGTCATGAGCTTGTCAGCTGGCTACAAGCGCTATCAGGTTACCGAACGCTATGTACATCATTACATTGTAAGCTGTGTAAAGTCACTTACTTGCAGGGCACGTGCACAATACTTTTAGTTTTCTTTCGTTGTCAGCCTCGAATGAGCCAGGCGAAGAAGTCATTTTTCAAAGAGCCCAGAGCACTCAGGGCTCATATCTACTGCCAAGAAGAATATTACACAAGCTTTCCACCTCTGTTTATTACAGCAAAGAACAGTCAGGTCTTATGCGACTCACCTCTAGCTACCTTCAATAATGAAAAAGTGAGTTAGAAACCGCAAACAAAGACATCAATGGGAATGGTATAGTTGGCATCTGAATTCCGCAAAAAAAGAGACTGACCGATTGTTATCGTAGATCACCTTGGATGTTTAGCGCCTAAAAAGGAATGAACACATCGAAAACACCGGAAGGGTTGTCTTCTCCAAAAATCCAGAATGGGAACGCGGTGGACAGTATGTGCAGTGATACACATGATCGTATGAAAATATTCGACTGTACGTGAAGGAATCGAATTGGAAAGTTGTATACACCGTCGATGGACAGCGGCGCCAGCGATTAGAAGGTTACGGGGTAGCCTCTTTTCTCTTTTTTTAAAATTATCTAATTTTATTTGGTCCCATTGTTCAATTTGGTGAATGGGATGAAGACAAATTTTGGAGGTCAGGTTTCCAAGATAAAACCTTCTTGCGAAAACACTTGTGTAAACGATAATATCAAATGGTGATTTAGGAGCTCTACGTAAAAGCATAAAATCTTCTGTGGATCCACCCACAAGGGCATCCATGCCATTGTTGTCGGTAGGCATCCAAACATGCCGACTGAAATGCTATGAAAGTACTCAGCCATTTAGACCTTCGGCAAGGGCTTTTCTCTCACTAGTATGTTAGGCAGGTGCAGAGAATAATTTGCACATAACCCTAGCATCCAAGCATGCTAGTGAACAGCGGCACTTTTATAAACGTATCCCTTATTAGATCCATACAAATGTGAACCAACACTTTTTCTGCGTCAGCATCTGGAACATTATATTTTTTTGTGACCTTTGATCATTTGTTCGCCTTTTTAGTGATGACTTTGTGGGATTAGATTCGTGCATGTTTTGGTTTGCGGAAGCATGATTTGCGTCTCACCTAGATCTTTATGTGTTTTTGCCCTTAGACTGAGTCAAACTACCAGTTTTATAGAATACCAGTCTACTTATTTCTCGTCGAGAACTTCCTCAATTTTCTCAGAAAGAACGCTGTGATCATAGGTTTCAAAGTGAATGCAAAGAATGTTAATTGCCTGCAATATGTCTGAATAATGTGCTGTGTCAATGTATTCCATAAAATACAGCTGGAGGGTGAAAGCTATGTGATCTTTGAGACATAATTGACGATTAGCGCTGATAGAGGGAATCAATAAATTACAACTTGGCTTTTCGTAAAAGCACTGGCAAAATACATTATTACGACAATAGGGTATTGAAGTCTAGATCCTTTTGCGAACAACTAGTATAATATGATATACTTATAACAAAGCATACAGGTATAGCGCATAAAATCGTGACAATGACGTCGTACTCGTCATCTGCGCAGTTTTCGCAACCTTCTTTGCTTTCGTCTATGTTCAAACCATTTTTCGGAATCAAGTGACAGGTACTATTGGGTACTATTAGGATGTTCCAAAAGTAAACCGTTTTTTTAAATAAATTAAACTGTTTTTGTTTTCTTGGCAGACCTGAGGTACCATTCGATAGAGCGAAGCAATCTCTACACAATGACTGCAAAAGATCCGTCTGTGCAAAAGATCCGATGTCGTAATCCAGGTAAAGCTTGGAGCAAAAATCGAAAAAAAATTTATTATCTAGAAATTGGATTTTTGCGAAGAATAACCGTATGGAACTTGGTTTGGTAATTATACAGTAGACACATAGCAGTACTCAAGTATGCCCTTACTGGATTTTTTTCGAGCTTAGAAAGCGAGAAAAAAAGATAATCTGAAAATGGCAAACCCCACCAGCCCCTCCCACATGTGTCATTGTATACTACAAGCCTTGAAGTATATTCTTGAAACTTTATTCTTTTAGGTGCTCCTATAATCGAGAAATACCAAGTTTTACATGAGAAACCCGAAAAAAGTGGCACTTTGGCATTTTCGGACCACCTTTTTTCTCTCATTTTTGAGCTCCCGAAAAAATCAACTAAAGACGTTTTTCAGTACTACTATATCTACTATATAAAGACTAAGTTGGAAGTCCGTAGGAATTTTCTGGAATGAGACCCGATTTTTAGTGTAGCTGAAATATTTTGATTTTTGGATCCAAATTTCAAATGGATCGCGACTTACACGGTTCTTAGGTGGTCTTTTTGTAGAAATTGCTTCGCTCTAACGAATGGTGCCCTAAGTCTGCCAGGAAAACAAATACAATTCGATTAATTTAGAAATACGGTTTATGGGACAACTTAATAGATTTTAGTAGTGACTGTTATGCACTAAGCTGATGCTTTTCGTACTGACCGTGAAGTTCTTGTGCTTTATTATGTGTTAGTTCTTCTGCTAAAAGGGGAATGGTCAGAAGTCGAAGCGGCCAATCCAAAACAAGCTGCCAGCAATTCGATGCAGCATTCAACGCTGATTTTGAATCTGTATATATTATCTGCTCAGCGCCTTTGTGGACTAAGTTATGAGCAGTTTTAATGCGAAAAAAATCGCACATAAAATTTTAGCAAATTCAGCTCATTATTGCACTTTCAGCTCACTCTTAGGCTCTAAAAACATAGAGCAATCTCGGTACCTGTTTTGGCCCAGCCTTGCGCCAAACATAGCTCTTTGCCGGGTGATGAAGCACTGGACTGACAAAAAAGCATGATTAGTCGGAGTGGCTTTCATAGATGGGATTTACATTTATTGAAGAGCATCCGCTGATTTCAAATGCACCTCGCTTATTAGCGGGACATTCATGAAAGAGGAGTAATACGTCTTGGTTTTTAGCAAATCATTTTATCCTAGATGCACATTCACTTTTTTCTCATGTAAACGCTCACGACTCCTCATCCAGAAACGTTCCCAGATAAATAGGGCAGGTTCGAAATCAGCGTTTTATGCCTTTCAAGAAGGTAGACATCCTAAATAAAAAGATACTTCAACTAAACATGCTTTACTTGTGAGCAGAGATGCATACGGTTGAGGGGAGCTTCTTCTCGACCTTCGTTTTGTGGAAAACTTCTTTCTTTTGAACAACTACCGAAGCAAGACGATGCTAAAGAATCTCAACAGAAGGAAGAGACCACTAAAGAAACTGTAAGACGATTTTGAGAACACGCTTTGCGAAATCGTGGAGATGAACTTGGAAGGTACCCTCACTGCGACGCCCCCATTTGTATCTGGGACATTCGATGATCATGAAGAACCAGGGACAACCCAGTATGGGCACAAGAGCAGCCTCTGCCGCTTTCGGGCTTTTGAAGGATAGCCATTGTCCAGTTGTCCAGTTGATGAATCACTTCGAGCGCCCTGCTCGACTCTACCGCTATGCCAGTGCTCATGCAGCTGAATGGATACCACAGCCAAGTCGAAAGCTTTGGAAAGCTTTGCGGACCATCAGGAGCGCTTGAGCACAGTCGACGCAATCAAAAGATAGGTCCAGTGGAATGAAGTCCCCTTTGGGTATAACGCATCTCCTTATCTTATCGTTAGACCAGTTGAATGTAAAATTTGATATCGGAAATTAAAAGCCAGGCACCTATTCACTTTTTTAATGAGGTCTTTTTCTCGTTTTATGTTCGTCTAAGAAAATGACTATCGCCTCTAGAGTTAGACTACAAAAATTCAATATTCTAACAATATGTAAAGTCCAACAATGACCACGTATACGAAAACAATTCCAACGAATAGCAGCATACAAAAAGCAAATCACGAAGATTCTCCAAGCAGCGACTCGATGTCTGCAGTCATTCCCATAGGCGAGGTGGTGGGAGCAAATCTGAATTTGAACTGATTGGCAGTTGCAAACCGATGAGCTATAGTTTTGGAGAAGGGCACAACCTCTTAACTACATGTCCTTTGCGGTTGATCAAGAACTTGGTGAAGTTCCATTTGATGGCATCGATCAGCGTGCCACCTTGCTCTGTCTTCAAAAATGTCCAAAACGGGTCAGCTTTATCTCCATTGACATTAACCTGAAGAATATATTATCGCCAATGCCTTCCTTATTAATGTGTACCTTCGCATAAAGATCTGGTTCATAATCGAATGTCTCCTTGACAAACTTTTTGATATCAGCTTCACATGATGGTTCCTGTAAAAAGCGACCCTATTAATAGGTTTCATAAAAAATTGTAATTTCTTGCAAGCTCAAAATGATTTCCGCGATCCATTGAGTGGCATACAAGCCTACGAAAGATTAACAAGAATTGCTTCTGTCATTCCTACAGCTAAAGAGTGTCGTCTCGGTTGATCATCACTTCTAATGTTAAGTTTCGTCACTGCCAGCATTTCTGTGGCCTTGATCTTTTTTGTTCAGATATGAGGTTCAAAAATCGTAAAGCCCCAAAAAAACATTCTTCGAAGCCCTTTTGTGGACGTGGACGAGTGCCCGGCGCTAATTTTGTGAGAAACAAACACGGACATAGGAAAAAGCATGGCATCGGTCGTCTTACTAGGGCTCTCCACTATGTGGTTTTCCGAAAATGCAAAAAACAAAATCCCCTTGACTTTCACAAAACAAAATTTTATGAAGTTCTCTTTGACCCTAAACCCTGAATCTACAAAATTCTCCAAAAAAACACGTCGACCAAAAAAGTACCCCTTGAGTTGCGTTTTTTCGGCCAACATTCTTTCTATCCTTCACTTAAAATAGAATTCGAATTGCAAAAATGTGCATTGTCCTCAAAACTACAAGAATAGGGCTTGCTTCAGCAGAAAGCTCTTAGTTTTGTGGAATGTTGTTTAGCAGTAAATGGACGAAAGGATCTCAGTGCGCAGAAATGGCTGAAGACGCGTTGACAGTGCTATGAAGAGTGCTAAGGATATTAAAATTCAAAAAATGATTTATGGGCTGCCTGTCAAAACTTTTATTTTCTGCCACAAAAACCCTTTCAAAAAGAACGCGATTTTTTCTCTATCTACTTTAGACTCTAAACCTCGCTCAAAACACTGTACAGAGAAAGGCTTTTTAAAAGCTTCCAACTACTATTCGGCAAACCTCGTTTCTAAAAAGTTTCGTGAAACAACGTTTTACGTTGAATATCAAGCTTTTTGATTGGCAAACCTATGAGATTTTGGTAATCAATACACGTTCTTGAAAATAAAAATGAAAGAGATAAACAAAATAAACAAACAGACATACCAACATGTGAAAAAATTTCTTACGCCTAGGGGATTCTTTGCAAAAAACATCGAAATGATGTCAAACCCATGGTTTTCACCTACCCTAACTTTAGCTATTTTTTAGATCCTGGACTTCAGAAATGCTTTAAACAGGTTAATGTAAACAAAATGCAATTTACGATTTTTTGGCATCGATAGCTAGCTTGTCAAATTTTCGAAAATTCTCATTTTGATGCTACCAAATTCGATACATATCTGTTTATCCCAAACCTCGCAGAACATCAGACGGCAAACAGAAAGGGTGTCATTCGATGCAGCTTCTTCTCCTCTTCTTGGTAGATGTTTTTTTCTTTGATGTGTAAATGCCTCGAGAAAAAAATTGCCATAATTCTCGTTTTTTTTAATGATTCGTCCCAGGCTGCACCCGAAAATTTCAAAAATCAATATTTCGAGGCGCTGAAAACTCATTTAGTTGTTAAAATCAGCATTCAATCATAATCGAGTTGGAAGTACCAATTTGCGAAGATTTCATAGTATTTGAAGCGTTTGTACATTTTGCGACCTCGCAAATGTGAAGACTTCTGGAAATCTTGTTCTTAGGGATACTGAAAAGCCAGCTGTCGATGCCAACAGAATGGATTTTGTAGCATTTTCTTCTCTATCCAACTGTTATCAAATCTTTTTCAGAAGTCCAAATGAAATCAAAAAATAGCTAAATTTAGGGTACGTAAAATGCATGGGTTGGAGATTATTTAAAAGAACATTGAAGGAATCCGAACAAAGTCATGACTGCTGAAAAGAGAAAAAATACCGCATAGAAAAGTACTTAGAATGTTTGCCTATCGTTATTCTGAATGATCTGAGGATAGGTCTAAGAAACGGCACAGAAATTAGCTGACTGCAACACTTTGATGTCCAGGTTTATCCGCACATGGTCAATTTTTTGTTTGCTTGCCTAACTCCCTACCACCTACTCTTCTAGATTTGTAAACAGAAAAACACATTTTGCCATAGTAATGAGCAAGGAAATGACTGATTTTTCTCACACTGCACAAACGGCAATGTCCTTCACAGAAGTTTGAGTACGATTTTGATAGACAAAAAAGTGCTTTACTGCATACAAATGTAGGTCATTCCATTTAGAGTGGATTCGAAGCAGTTTTGAAAAACTACATATCTCCCTCTTATGACCACGCCTACCTGACCGGCAAATTGGTTGCAAGGGAACGCAGCAATCCGTAGGCCCTGATCGTAGTATTTGTCTTGCAGCTGTTTCAGTTCTGTGTAGTGATTGTTTGTGAAGCCGCATTGGGATGCTACATTGACCACAATGACCACATTTCCTCTAGAAAAAACTCGATTCCATAAGAACATTACATCTAAGCGCACACAGTGGTCACATACTTGTATTTGCTCAAAGAGACATCTTCACCATCAGCATCCTTGACGGTGAAATCGTAGATAGTTTTGTGAGCCGACATACCGTCATCGCTGCTAAAATGGGAGCCATACAAAGTTATAGATCAAGTTAGCTCGAAGAAAACAAAAAATGTTATCGGAATGCTCCGGTCATTACTTTGTTTCCTTTCCTACTTTTCCTCCCATTCTGATGGACAACGATGTTGGATAAAATTTCACTGAAATGCAATCGTGGAGGCAACTCTGTTTTACTGTTAGAAATGAGGTAGGGAGAAGGAAGGAGAAATAGAAATCTAGAACACACAGACACGATTCCAAAACCAAATTTATAAAACCACAGATCAAGAATTTTCTGTTCCAAGTTCAGACTGTTTTCACTCACTCGCAACAACAAGAAACACAATTCAATTAATGCTGATATGCAGAAAAATGATTATTGAACTGCAGTGGATAGCGAGAGTGGGCAGGGGGGGGGGGGGACGTCATGAATTTTGAAAGTTGGGCGGAGAGGAGGTGGGTAGTGAATTAAAAAGTTACTTACATGTAATGTAAAAATGTGCAGGTAACTTGTCTCTTGTAAATGATTAGAATGATTTTAAAGAATTTGAAAAATTAAACTAATCTTGTAAAAAAGTTTATTTTAAAGTGTGGCTGTGGCCACGCCCCCTTTGCTGTTCTCATACAGGCCCGCACAATTTTGAGAAATATTCCAAAAAAATTTCCGGAGTGCGTGTGTGCCGCCACGCACCTTTATCCAAAAAATTTCTTGTCGCGACTCCGCCCCGAAAGACAATCCTGGTTACGCCACCTAGACGGGGATGGCGATACTAATTATAAGATTCGCTGCAGTTGCACATTTGATTTTCTACGTTTTTCTCGTTCGCTGGTTTTACGACGTAAATCCTGCTAGTTAGTGCAATTTCATGTATAGGGTTATTTCCAAAGTTCTGCCCATTTCCCCAACTTCAAATTCGATCGACGTTAACCCTTTTCAAAATTGATCTCCGCAGACGTGATAAACTGTGTTGCAATCAACAAGTTTCCATTGTTTGACCCAATTGTGCTAGAACAAAGGTGATTACATTTCACTGCTCTTCATTTGCTTTGCAAAATGAATTTCATTTCCGAGATCCGGAGAAATGTTTGATTGCACAATCGCAGCCAGATAACTCGCCGTGGAAATAAAAAATCTTACTTGCAAAATTCACATTCAATCGTAATTCAGAAGAAATGTGCCAAACGGAAAGACGAATCGAAGAAATGCACAATAAACAATTCCGGAAGATCAAGCTGTCTTGTAAATACCACTGACATCGAATCGTTATTGAGACGATTTTAGAACAGGATAAAGCGGAGAGACGATGTGTTACCAAACAAGCAATTGTCACAAAGTGGCACTAACCTCGCCAGCACAGCCGAGGTCGAAACGGCGCACAAAAGTGACCAAAGCAGCATTTTGGCGACGATCTGGCAACTATCTGGAAGGGCGGCTATCGATCGCGAAACGCTTTCGTTCTCTCAGCAAAGGCGCGTAGGTTAGTGTAACTCCAGCGGACGTATTTCGAGTTCCCGACCCCATCATAGGGCCCAGAGAAGAGTTCTCCGATGGCTGGAAGTTGTGACAGCAAGAAGACCGTGATCATTCGACGTAATTCAAAGGCAGAGTCGGGGCAAAAAGTCGATTTTGAGATTTTGTGCTTACCCGGACCTATTCGCTATGCTGAATCCGAAAATTCACACAGGAGAGCGCAAAAATGGCGAAAAAGGGCTCTAAGGGTGATGGGGTCTTCAGGTAGGCAGGGTCTTTCCCACTATGGATCCCCTTTCCCAGCTTCCGGGCGATCTTGCCGGCTCCGATTCTAAGTCACGCGTTCGCACTTGGCCGGTGGCGATGTCAGGAAGGCTAGGGGATTTGACAAGAGCGCTCCGGAAGCTGCGAGCGTAAATACCGTGGGAAAGACCCCGCCCACTGCTTATTGCCCTCCTGCGTTGGAGCCCTTTCTTGCCGATTTCCCGCTCTCCAGTATGGGTTTTCGAATTCAGCATAGCGAATAAGCACAGCCAGGGTAAGCACAAAATCTCAAAATCAACTTATTGCCCGAACGCTGGCTTTAAGTTGAAGGTACGATTGTAGTGGCAAATATAATAGGTAAGTTTGTATCTGAAATGTGCACAATTGTCTCATGCCAATCTTCTTTCCAGAACTATTTACAAAACAACAAAAATATCTTTATTATCTTCCAATTTGCGGGAGATTACCCGACTATTGCAATGAATAAGTAAAGCTGCTGAGGTAGGGAATAGACCAGAGGTAGAGGAGAAGACACATACTGAGATCAAAAGAGAGGTCAATGAATTTAGGTAAAAGATTCAATCAGTGAGGTGGGTCGAGATCAGCAAGGCTTATTGTCATTGAATGTGGAGTTGAGATCGAGGCGATCTTTCTGGTAAGTGCTACCAACATATTCGCTTGGGATATCCAGTCGAGAGCGCACGCACGTCTAAAATAGAGTATTTTAAAGTTTATTCCTCAGTCAAAAGACATTAGAAGCAGATGGAATTTTGTAAGAGCTTCTGTACAAAAAACTCCACTATCTTGTCATTCCTTTTTGCATAACTTTCTACTTTGTCTTGTTGTAGATTGTTTGAAAACACCAGCTACTAACGCGGTGCTCCACTCGAATTGTTCCGCCTACTCCTGGTATAAAAGAAACGGTCCGAAATGGAAACATTTCCTTCGAGGGATTCTTGCAAATAGGGCTGTGCGTGATCACTAGAGTCGGGCCATTGCACACTCAGCATGCTAAAGGCCTCAAACCGAGTATAGCAAATCTCAGCTCAGTTTAGGCGGAAAATGGAGTGGCGGGAGTCCGCTTCGCAACGATTCGCGCGCTTTGCAGTCGGCGTCTCTTCATTCTAATCTATCTCGCTAAACTAGCGGCGGTGCGGACGCGCTGCTCCACTCGAATTTTCCGCCTACTCCTGGTTGAAAAGTACTGTAGAGATCTTTGAAAGGCGAGGTCCGGCGCGGACACTTGCTACAGATCGTGTACTCTGCACATTACTAATATGTGGTAGTAAGTGAGGATGGAGCTTATCGGCGACCTAACGTCCTAACGCTTAAAGCACTTAAACAATCCCGTACATTTTAAAATCTTACAGGTGGTTGGAAGCTACATCTGATAGCAGAAAAGCGTTTGTCAGGAGAACGATAGCTGAGGGGAACGATACTCAATGTCCTTGGCCTTTTGAGACGAGATGTATACCATTACACTCACCTTCGAACGCTGATTCCGAATCTGACTTCCGTCTCTGCTAATCGTTTCTCTGGAAGAAGCTATGGAGAAATTTCTAACCAAGTTTGGCCGCACAAGGGTATGGTCATGGGAACGCCTTTGCCGCCGTCACTTTCTTGTCTAGTGGTTAGTGCTATAGCCTAATAAGTTGATGCAGGTGTAGGTTCAAATCCTTTTTTGTTTTTCACTTTTGCATTGCCTCAATTAAGCTTGTTCGAGAAATTTTATTCGAGTTATGATTACTGGATAAATTTAAGCGCAAATAGTAATCATTCTCCAAATCTCCACATTTTTTGAAGTGTAAGAGTTCAATTAACTTAAAGATGCGAAAGAAGGTTGAGAGGCAATGCAGAACCTGCAACAACTCATGAGGCTATCGCACTAACCACTAGAACACAGCGCACCGATAATGATGGCGCTCCGACCGTATTTCACTGGGCAGCCAAACTCCACACAATCCATCATAATACCTTTGAAGCGATTAGCAGAAAAGGAAGACAGATTCGGGATCAGCGTTCAAAGACGAGTGTTATGGTATACAACTCATCTCAAAAGGCCACGGACACCGAGTATTGTTTCCTTGTGAGAAAGCTCAATGCGCGTGCAATGGCCGCAAACTCACCGACTCTTTGGTCACGCAGAGCCCATAGCAAGCAAATTCTAAGCCTCGCCGTTATAATTTTGCATGAACTGCGCTTTGCGTCAACTTATTTTGAACGTTTTCCATCTTTAATCTTTAAGCAGGAGAGGAAAAATCAAACAACATTTTCTCTCTCTCTTTTCTGGCATAACCTGTGTGAATTAAGCTTGATTCGAAGCAGGCACAAGAGTAAAGGAGGCAAAGTGTGGTACTTACTGTGCTAGCATAGCATATGATTCAGAACTCTACAATGTCATGAAACGTCCAATCAAATCCATGTAAGTAGAGCGATGAAGCAAGCAAGTATAATAATGCAAACTCACCCCATTGCATGAATGTTGGAGTATCAAATACGGTGCGAATGTTAGAAATTCGTTCTCCGTGGCAGTCAAAGAGATGTTTTGGGGCGGATTGGTGACGTTGAAGTACATTTCCCCAAGAAAATCATCCTTTACTGAACAAACGGCTAAACGTCTGTGGCCATGAGCAGAAGTAGTAGTGAACTTACGGATGTCCTTATCCCAGACTTGGATTTTCAAAGTGTCGAGATAATCTTCTCCATCGCAGGTTACTTCGTCGATGCGCACAGTTACATTTTGCAGCTTTGCTAAAGTAGCGGCGACGACTGCGAGCAACACGACAATTTTGCTCATTTTGTCTCTTCTGCAAACAAACATTTGTGCCGCTTTCAATGATCGCAAGAAATCACAGCAAAATAGACGCATTCATCAAAATTCTGGTGGGACACTAATCCCAGCTTTGCTTTTGGAAAATGGAGTCGAAGTTCTATTTGTCACACACTACGGCATACTATAGCGTGCCCAACTCAGACACTCGCAATTGAATTCCGGGAAAAAACTGAACTTCTAAAACTTGCGGGAACATATTCCTATTGGAGCTGCCAGATAGGGTGGGACCACCCACACGGCCCAATAGGAGAGTCCTCCCCGGAAGTTTTAGAAGTTCAGTTTTCCCCGGAAGTCATTTGCGATAGTCTGAGAATAAACCCCGTAAGAACTGTACTGAAAAGTCTTTCGTATTATAGGGAGAGAATTTCAGATTCCTCTTGCAAGGGCTCTTATGCTATGTTCGTAACATATTTTGTGTAACTGCTTGATAAGCTCATGAACTGGTCCCTATATTAGAGACAAACTTATCGTTGAACGATGCTCGACTTCAAACTGAGAAATGACTGTATAGTGCGAAATAGTCTTCAACTCTTTGATTAGCATATTTTTGATGAAGAATGCTCCCATCTTCGAAGTTACAAGTAGGTCAAGTAGGTCTAACAATAATCCTAAGTAATACTAGGCTGGCGCAAAAGTTCTTAGGTAATCGAAAACTTGTTATCCGAAATGCCAAGCTAAATTTACAGATTCACAGAATAGAGAAAGCGGCTTGTGCTTTACGCGGGTCACTCAAGCCACCCTCTCCATTGGCAATCTTTGAAGGGGAAAGTTTCGAAGGCGGCATTTCAGGTTAAGACACTCTGAGTTCAGTTGCGAAATAGCTGAAGAGTCGCTAGTTAACCTCAAAACATCCTCAAAAATTTCTCAATAGAATCACATCACTGTGGTAGGCTTCATTCTTCAAATCTTCAGCCATGAAAATGCAAAAAAAACGTGAACTCAAAAAAACGTGCGTGAAGTATCGTTTGGTAGCACAGATTCTTTCATTCTACCATGTCCTTCAAGCACATAGAATAAAGAATTTGATTTGCTTATCTAGAACAAATGACATTTTTTGGATGTCAAATTTTGTTTTTGCTGGAAAAATATATTAATGAATTTGTCCAACAATTTTTTGAATTTTTTTTGCATTTTCATGCTAGATTACAGCTTTCTACAATGATGTTTGGAGCACTGGTAAGAGATTTTACATATTTTTTGAAGCGCTAGCAAACAACACTCTAGCATTTAATTCAAACAGACTCAGAATCAAGACCAACAGACTTAGAATCAAGCGATTTGTGCTGTTGTCGAGAGCTTTGTTTTCAAAGGATTGCCAACCAAGTGAATTGGTCAAACGATGTAAGTATGGTAAACCTTCTTCTTTCTTGACGGAAACAAAAGCATAAACAGGGCACGGCACAGGTGGCTTATAAGCAAGCTGGATACCGCTTTTGGGACAAACAGCAAAGGGGATATATCTTTGTGGCCAGAAAAAATATAAGCTCGGTCTCGTTCTTTTTAATCGACGTTTCGTTTTTTCTTTGGAGGTTTTTACGTAGATAGGATCGAAGGGGACTTGGTAAAATTTTGAAAGTCACGGTCTTGTCTTCAGTCAGTGTCTTCGTTTTTTGTAGTTTCGGAAAGCCACCTCGTGCCTAGCCCGCATAAATTGAGAATTGGAATTGCAAAGTTGTTGGATTTTGTTCGAATTACGCAGCAGCTTTCGCAACATATTACTTATCACTCGCCTTTGAGAGTAAGAATTGCGCAGTTTTTGAAGCTAATTCCAATCAATCTTTGTCCTTCTTTCGAGAACTAAAGTTTCCGTCTGGCGTAGGAAAAGGTCATACAGTATACTTTCTAACTTCCCTCCCAATCTGTGATTCTGAATAATGCTCTGGAAGATTGATAATGGCTACTAGATGCGGAGATTTTTGGTCTCTCAATCCATATTTCAACCTCATATCGGAAATTACTATTCTATCGGTTACGAGAAAATCCACTAAGCAGCATATAGAAGCCAAATCAAAATTCCAGCTATGCGGTGCTATGCTAATATGGCGATGATGACCGAAAGTGCCTCTTTTGCACACAGTGACCAACTGAGGCAATCCGGTCCCATTCATCTTTGAGAAAAGCGTTGGTTTGCTGCTTATCAAGGGCTCAACTTCGATTATGTATACATTGGGTTGAACCGAAAATTCGTTCGCACCATCTTCAAAAATCATAACTTTTTTCCCTTACAAAAATCTTGCACGACAAATAAAATATTAGGGAGTTTCTAGTATTAGGGACTTTAATATTATATTTGTCGTGCATGATTTTCGTAAGGGAAAAAGTTATGATTTTTTGAAAATGGCGCGAACGAACTTTCGATTTAACCTAATTGTTCTGAATTGCATTATTTGAAAACTTTCTAAGTTATGAACGTGACGAGTTCAAGAAAAAGGTGGACGTAGTGTACATTCGAGCAAAAGAAGTCAATGTGGAAGTTGATAAGAAGCAGTAAATGAGTGCTTGATTGTAATTTAGCCTCGTTCCCACAGCAACTTGTTTAAGGACAGCGTTGCCTCGGTGAAGGCATACACAAGATTCTGATTCGATACGGCGACGGAACACAATTGGTGTTAATCAATTCACACACTGAAGCCAAGATAGTCACGACACATAGTGAGAGAGAGAATATCAAGTCGAGTTGGGTCACCGTAACTTGCAGCATCAAAGTAACAGCTTCGAGTACGAATCCGACTGGGATATCTCCCAACACTTAGTGTGGTTGTTGTGAAGGTAGATATGATGTGTTTTTACAGCACTAACAGGCTAGACAGTCGCGGAATCACCAGAATGTGATGTCAAATGCCAACGTCCAACTGCATCCTAGTAGTTCTATGAACGTATTACGGATAAGGCAAGTTGTCTTTGTAAGTAGAACACTTCCTCCAAAGCATCGGAAACACAACAATACCATTGGTGCCGCCTTTAAAATTTCTGAAATAAACGCGATGTCGCGTTGAAGGCGCCGCAACCTTATAATTCCCTCAAAAATCATTTTTGAGCAGAGAGGAGCACAAATTCGGAATCAGCGCCTTTCAATCTATCTGAAACCATTTTTACTATCGGAAACTTAAATTTCTCCATTTTACTGGTGACGTCACAGTAAACGTCCACGCTCCTGGGATTTTTAGCTCATAAGTCGCTGTATAGCCAGTAATCATTGAGATTCGCTGGTACAAATCATTAAATACATTGAAGAGGTCTTAATCCTTGTTTTCCATGAAGTTTTGAAATCTAGAATTGTTTTATTTTAGATAAATAAATTTTCTCCCTTGTATATTGACAAGGCTTCGGTAATTAAGACCTGCATGTGTCTGAGCGCTCTTTGGAGAAAATAACTGCATTGGGATAGACGAAAAAGTGAGACATCAGATAACACTTGCGGCGTTTGATACGGAGTCTGAAGCATTCAAAAACTGTTCATATCATTTTCTGAAGTGAACAATAGGTCCATCAATAATCCTTCGGTGCTGCCTGTTGCCCGTACCTGGCACTTCTCAATTTTCTCCTGTACAACTTTTGTATTTGAGTTCCTTTCTAAGGGGATGGGGGATCAACAAACTTATAATAACTCTTCGTTAAAATTCGTGCGCTAGGTAAAAGTATTTGGATAAAATGCCGGAGGACAGCTGCATACAGTCTCAAAAGCGGTAATACTGTATGGGAATGGAATGGTGAGCTACGACATATTTCAGAAACGCTATCGTACACTAATTTCTTTTATGCTTTGAGGATGAATGATCTTCATTTGTTTTCTGATGAGGAATCATACGGTGACGGCGAACTGATGCATAATTTCGGGCTGACTTTACTTGGCGCAAATGATGGCAGAGGATAGCATCCATTTATTCGGGCCTGAATTTTTCTTTACGACTTCAAAATTGTCTCCATATTATACTTACTTTTCAACACGTAAGTAGCAAACTAGTAAAACTTGATTTCGTCAATCAAAAACCTATTTCCCCGATTATCAGATTGTTTCTAGCTTTCTAAATCCTCTGAACATATGTCGACGTGCCCAGACAGTCGAAGGCATATCTCCGGAGCAGAAATGGCAGAGCCGCGAGGTTTGCCCAGCGCGGGTTTGCCACTCGTGCTCCGGAGCCCTCCCATTTGTGCTCCGGAGACCTCCCATTTTATGCTCCGGAGCCCTCCCATTTTGTGCTCCGGATGTCCCCCGCGGCATACTGTAACTAGCCCTAATCATGCCCCTAAACCTTACTCAAATTAGTTCTAGACCAGGGCGAGCAAACGGTGTGGCATACGACCGCCGGGTACGCCCCCCCCCCGGGTAGGAATTCAGCAGGACCCTCCACCCCGTTCTCTACCCCCTCCCTCTCACCCCCACCGTTTTTAGATAGAAGATAGAAGAATGAAGTGACAAGACATTTATTAGGTTGGAAACTAAGTTTTGCAACTGGTCTCATAACTTCCCTCTCACTCAACATGGCGCATTCAAATTTTGCCACTGCGTTGGTTATTACGTAAGCTACAAGCACAGCTGCTGTTCTACCAAAATCTGACGTCGCAGTGAGGGTTACGGTAGCTTCATGGTATGAAGGGGAAAAATTCAAAGTTTGACAGATTTGGCTGAAACTTAGGATATGGGTGTTATCCGACATGCTGATCATAAAAACGATACTAAAATTGCGTGAAAAGGGCTTTTTTGTAGGATTACTGTAGGTGTACGATATGGGGTCTCACCCTAAACAAGGAAGAAGACGTTGATTCAACAAATGAATGTGATATTCGCGTTTGGCAGGTCGAAAAACCTTACTATGTAAAGTCTCGGCGGAATTTGAGCTTCGGAATCTTTAGTCATTGACGGTCGTCCCAGCAGCACTTGCGTACATCGACTCTTTCGACTTTATGAGGACGCCAAATCTCGACATGCCTCTAAATTTTGTTTCTTCCTTAATAGGCCAAAGGAGTCAACCTCC